AAATTTAACCTAGTCTATACCATATTCTTCTAGGCCCAAGTGGAAGGGCAAAGGAAAGAAGAAGGATGATAATAGGACTAGTCTAGCATAAAACATGGGTATCCAAAAGATTAAAGGGAATAAGGCAGTGTATGTTGAGGGCGAAAGAAACTGTTTCTTTTGCTACTAACTAAGATACTAAAGGACAAACTGTCTAAGCAATGACGTGGCATAGGAAAATAAATATTTAATCATTGAGCCATGTTATGTGGTTGTATCTATTAATTCCTGATGGATAGATTCTGGAGCCATTAAACATGTTTGCAATTCGTTGCAAGGATTTCAGGAATCCAGAAGCCTCGATGATATGGATATATATTTGTCTTTTAACCTGATGCCAAGGTTGTAGCTAAGTCAGTGGGAGTATTACACCTGAAATTAGAGAGTATGAAGATATGAGTATTAGAGAATTATCTTTATGCACAGATGTTAGACGCAATCTAATTCTTATTTCACTTTTGGTTTTTAAAAACTGTGTTGTTATTTTGTAAAACTGGTTTTATAAAATTGAATAGATGTGCGATTACTTTTGGTGCATTGAAAGATGGTTGATATACTATAATCACAAACTCTTAATATTTGCATGATGTAGAAACTAATGTTGCATTTTCTGGATTGAATGTTAAGAGAAGATTTGTTATTCCTGACTCACTGTATTTTTTAATGTCTATTTTTGGGTTATAATCAGTCAAAATAAGATACAAAGATTGGTTAAAGAAGGTTTATAACCTAGTGAGGCAGAGGAGCCTAAACCAACTTGTGAATCCTATTTTGAAGGATAGATAACCGTAAGGGCTCAATCAGCCAAATCAAATAGACATAAAGAACAATTGGAGTCGGTACACACAGACACATGTGGTCTTATGAACATCTAAGCAAGATTACTCATGTTTTGGATAAATTTACCTGATACGACACGAGTCTTAAACTTTTGGTATATTCCGAAAGTGTCAAGACTGATGTGGAGGACAGATTAAGTAAACTTATCAAAACACGTCGATCTGATTATGGATATGAGTATTTCTTGGGATAGTACAAAGACTATATGGTCAATGAGGGTGTGGTGTACCCGTTTTTCCTCAATTGACGTTCAATGAATTGAGGTGTCAAATAGGAATAACATAATTCCGCTTAACATGGTTAAATCTATGATCAGTTATGCTACATTATCTCTTTCATTAAAGAGTTTAGCGTTAATGATATCGATGCGCATTATGAATTGCATTCCATCTTAGTCTATCTCAAGGATACCGTTTGAGCTGTGTTTTTTACTAAATCTTAGTTTGAATCACATGCACATATGGGGTAGTCTTGCACATGTGCACTTAATATGGACAAGTAAGTTGGAAGCAGATCATAGGCATGTTTGATTTGATGGCTACTCTAAAGGCACTAGGATGGATTATTTTATGATCTCAATGATAAAAGTTGATTGTGTACACTTACTGTTTATCTATAGGAGGATCATATTATGAGTCACATACCTAGTAGCATAATGTTAGAGAATATGGTATGAGTACCAGATGTACCACATGTGAACACACTTATTATAGAAATTAAGAATAATATATGAATTCCTTATTGATGCATCAGCATCACCTAGTGCACAGATTCCTGCATCGATACATTGATGTAGTGGGAGGATTATGATCCAATCCGATAGAATCATATTTTTAGGTGGTACCTTTATGGACATCCCTGTCAAACATGAGTTGGACCCAGTAAGCTCCACGAAAGCATGAACCGATATGGATACAGATCGTTTTGGCGAGTTGCTATGAAATCAGAGTTGGAATCTATGTATTCTAATAAAATCTGGGATCTTGTAGAACTTTCTAGTAGTGTGATACTTATGGAAAGTAAGTTAATCTACAAAAGGATACTAGAAGATTTCTTAGTAATTAAATCATGAGTGTACAAGGGAATGTCATTATTTTTCTAATTCTATATATATTGATGACATCCTACTCATTTAGTATGATATGGAAAGTTTTATCATCAGTAAAGAAGTAGTTGTTCAATTATTTTGAAATGAAGGATTTTAAAGATGTAAGCTATATTCCTAGGATCAAGCTTTTGCAAGATCAGGTTAAAAGGAAAATAGCTTATCTTAATAATCCTACATTGATAAAGTTTTGACCAGGTTTGGTATGCATAACTCAAAGAATGAGTTCTTGCTTTATTGATATGGATTGCTCTCTCTAGTAAGTAATTTTCCAAGACTAACAGAGGAGATTGAGCAAATGAACTAGAACTATATGTTTTGGCATATGGGAGTCTCATATATGCCATGGTCTATACCAAACAGGACATCTGCTACATGGTAGGGATAGTCAATAGATATCAGTCCAATCCCGGACTTGATAACTGGTCTGTTGTGAAAGATATCATTAAGTACCTTAGAAGAACCAATGATCTCATACTTATTTATGGATGTGATGATGTGGTTCCAGTCAGGTATGATAGTTCTATTTTTCAATCAGAAGTAAATACTATGAGGTTTATGACTTAGTGTATGTTCACTCAATGGAGGGGAAATCAGTTAGTAGATTGTTAAGCAGATTTCAACTGCTGACTCAAACCTGAAGGTGGAGTACATTGCAGCCTTAAAGGCAGCAAAGGAAGCCTTTTGGTTTGATCTCACTGATTTAAAGGTTGTGGAGCATACTAGCTTGCCTATCGAGCTATATTGCGACAATAGTGCAAAAGTAGTTCAAACCAATGACCCAAGGTTCCATAGAGGAACAAGGTACACAGAAAGGAAAGTATCATGTCCTATATGATATTTTCCGGCAAGAAAATATGCTCATGGCTAGAACATTGCGTTGAAACACAACTTTGTTGATCCATTAACGTTATCGATCAATAGTTTTGATCATCGCCTGGATAACATTGGAGTTAGATGCAATTTGAATTGGCTATGAGGGCAAGTGGGAGCTATTGGGATTTATATGCCTTGGCATAGCAAATTCCTATTTGGATTATAGTGACATAAGTTTCTGACGTTTCTGAAATATTTATGCTTGATACAATTGATGAATTCAATGTATTATGTTTCGATTCATTATAAAATTGATAGTGTCCACCTGATTACAAGAGATATTTATATATGTATGTGATGGCGATCAATACAGGAATATAAATAGTAATTATAAATTGTTTATAGTCGATAATTATGGATAGACTCAAAATTAATTAAGACTTGAACTGGATCCGCGTTAGGTTGAGATATATTGCGAGAACCGTCGTATGCAATTGCTCCCTATCACCATCATGGCATTTGACTCTTAAGTATGAAAAAAGTTTAAACTCTTTTATTAATTAATAATTACTTTGATTTGTTCGGCTTATACTTCGGGATCCTTAAACCGATACTTTGGGTAGTTGTGTAATTAGAGGGTTATATTTTCAATATTTGCATCATTACTACTTGTATTTTTTTTGTATTGATTATGGTTGATCATAAAATAAATTCGAAGGCCTTCGTGTGTTTTTAGACAAAATGATTTATTATATATTTATTTATTTAAATTATTATTTTTGGCAAACAAATGTTTTATTGTGATCGAGTCAGAAATAATCAAAGGTACCAAAATAAATATATTAAAGAGTAGTCCGATTGATAGCTTTATTTATCCGATAACTAATTATGCATAGAGGAGTCAAAGTGCAACATTGACTTAGAGGTTATTTATTTTTTAATTGGAGTTCAATTAATTTCTTTTAGTGGAGTAGAAATTAATTTTTGAATTAATTGGAGTTCAATTAATTTCTTTTAGTAGAGTAGAAATTAATTTATGAATTAATTGAATTGGGTCCATGGACCGGGCCAATTATTAATTCATTGTAGCTAATAAAATAATGAGCCCAAATGATTCTCACTCATAGCCCAACTTGATATTGGAATCCTATTAGATTTGAGACATGTGAATTAGAGATTGAGAAGAATTTATTTTTTCATTTTCATTATCTTTATGTTGTCTATATATATACATGGTCTATGTATATTTTAGGTGTGTTTTTTTTTTTTTTTTTGAATTAGGAAAAAGGAATATATTTTCTCTCTCTAGAAAATTAAGGTTTATGTTCTCATCTAATGGAGACTCCCACAAGCCTAGTTTTCTAAGATCATTTATGGAGACTTATGAGTGATTCCTAAAGGCAAAACAATTACCAAGAAGATAGAGATCCAAGGAGAAGGCATCTTGTTAAGAGATCTACAATAAGTGAGAATATTCACTTTAGAGGAAAGATTTAAAGGTTTACCAGACCTTTGATGTAAATATTCAATCTGTTAATTAAATGATACATTATATTTTATTTTTGCATAAAACTTGTTTCTATGTGATGAATCAAGATCTGTGAATGTAAATCCCTCAAAAAGTTTTTAAATCTTGCACGTTTCCTAACAGTATCAACTCCTTATTTGTATTCATCAAACAAGAATCATCCCTTTGATCATCTACAATAAACTCTTTTAAACAAATCAACTTATTTTTGCTGAGATATCCCAACAACCTGTGATTAAATAGTTTCCCCAAAAACTTTCCATCACACCAAAGGTCCAAAAAGACTTTCTAACCATTCCCAATCCTGTACCTACAATTGAATTTGATAATGTCTCTGATTGCAATAATACTTTTCCAGATGGATGAATATGTCTCCCTAGGAACCATATTCTAAAAAGAAGCTTGTCTCAAGTAGCATTGCTTAAACCAAGCCACCCAAGTTCTTTTCTTTGAGAGCAAAAATTCCCAAGCAAGATTACATTTAGAAGCCTTATCAACATATGCAAGTCTTCTCAGCCCTAGCCCCCCTTCTTCTTTGGGAACAACAAGCTTTTTCCACCTCAGCCCATGCATCTTCTTCCTTTCTTCAACATGGCCCCAAATGAAATTCCTCATTCTTTTCTCAATCAAATTAATTACCACTGCTGGTAAAGTGTATACTAAAGTCCAGTAATGCACCATAGGGATGATGGTAGCTCTGCTAAGCTCCATTCTTCCAGACATAGAGATATGCATGCCAGTCCATCTGGTAGTGATAGCTATAATTTTGTCAATCAGACTAAGGCAATCCCCTCTTCTCAACATTTTATCAGATATTGGGATATTCCTTTGTCTAATCTTTTGGACAATGGTGAATGGAATTTGGAGCTTTTACAAGACATTATGTTTCGGCCAATTAAGGATTATGTGCAGGCTTTGATTATTCATGCAATAGCAGATCGTCTTATGTGGGATAGAGGTCCTTTTACTTTCAAATTAGCTTGGGAAAGTTGCCGAATCACTGATCCAGATGTGGATTGGTTTAAATTTTGTTGGGGAAAATCTTGGCCTAGATGGTCTGTGTTTGGTGTTTTTTTGTTTCAAGATAGGCTTCCTACCATGGTAAATCTTCAGAGGAGGAAGGTGCAATTAGCTCCATGGTGTTCTTTATGTTTACAGGAGTATGATACCAGAGACCATCTTTTTGTTGGGTGTTCTTATGCAATTAGTTTCTGGAAATGGATTGTGGATATCATGGGCTGGAATTTTGATATTTCTTTAATTTTCACATTCGAAGACTTGCTCTACTGGTTCTCTCAACAGACCAATAAGATGATTTATTTAATTTTTGTGGCAACATTGTGGAGCATTTGGCAAGAAAGAAATGGCAGGTTGCATGGTCATTTATTTAGACTACCTCAAGATGCTGCTAGACAAATCTTATTTGAAGTTCTTGATATCTACAATGTTGCTATTCAAGATTTCTCTAGATAGTAATTTTGTTAATTTGCTTTGATTTGAATTTTTTTCATTTTAAGAATTGTTCTTTCAATTCTTTTCTGAGGGTATGCTCTCTGTGCGCTTGTAATTATTTTTTTTCCTTTTTTTTTATACAAACACCAATTATGTAAAATAAATAAATAAATTAAAATTAAAATAAAAAAATTGGCAATCGTTTTTGCTTCATGCTTTTGCTTTAGCTTAAAACAAAAGTAATGTTTCTGATTTAAAATTTGTTCAACACTATTTTGAAACTTATTTGTTAATGTAAATTTCTGCAAGATTTTTGGAAATAAAAACATGAAAGCACGTTTAATAAAAAGTGTTGCAAACAGGCACGAACCTAACATAGGACCAATGGGGATGCCCCCACTGGATTTTTTATATTTCCATTTTGTACCTCAATTTGTTTAGAATTTATGAAGACGCCCCACTAAAATTACAATTCGCCCCCACTGAATTCTTTTTTTTTTTTTTTTTTACATTTTATGATTTAATTTTTTGAGAATTTATGAAGATACCCCCACTATAATTATAATTTGCCCTACTGAATTAACTTTTTTTTGCATTTTATACTTTAAATTTTTTAAATTTTATGAAGAAAACTCCATTGAAATTACAAAAATGGACCCACCATATAAGTTTGTCCCACAAATTAAAAGACCCCCCCCCCCCCCCCAAAAAAAAAAATAATTAATAAATAAATTTTGGATCCGTCACTGGTTGCGAGTTTGAAAATTTGAATAAATAGTTAAAAATGTCATTTTAGTTTTTTAAATAAATGTGGATGCAAATAAAAGCATCATTTTTATGCTTCTAATTTTGGCCCCAATTTCGGAAGCGCTTCAATGCTATTCAAATAATAATAAATATTACCAAACATGTTTTGTACTTTTGTTTCGTTACAGTGTACTAACAAAAGTAAAAAACACAAAGCAAAAACATTAGTGAAAGTATTTCTTTTACTACACTACAATAATTAAATAACAAATGAAATTGATTGTATAAAAAATGTACACCCAGTTTCTCTTTGTCCATTAATAATTTTGAATTAAAAAAAATTACAAGAGTTGTTATAAAAAAATAGTCTTGAATTTGAGACTGCTTTGTGAGTTTGAAAATACTCTTATCAATAATTAAATTCCTTTTGATAAGTTTATACTGTATCAGTTTTATTTCATTGATTATTATTAATAATTTTAGAGTTTTGCTAATTATGTTTTGTAGAATAATTTCTTGATTTATTATCTTAAGAATTTTGTAAATGTGTTAACATTATTTAATTTCGTAATAAATTTTTATTAATTAATCTTTCATGAGTGAGCTCTCAAGAGCTAAATAAATTAAATCAAATAGAAACTATTTATATATTGAATCGTTAGACTCGTCAACATATTTCTGAAGTTTGTACACATGACTGCTGATTAAGAATGGTTGAATTTATGATTCACTTTATTTCTATCTTTTTCATGAGGTTTGTAATTTATTATTATGGCATTCTATATTTAGAATTAGTGAACTATATATATTTCATAAGAATGAATAGTCCATGCATGCCTTAATAGTGTTTTTTCTTCACTTTATTTCTATCTTTTTCATGAATTAGTCTGGTTTATTTTATTTCAATCTTTTTTAATAATTGTGCTGACATGGCTAATCACAGTGTTTTGTTAGTCATTGCTCATGGTATGGGCTAACTACTATTTATTATTTTATTATATTTTTTTATGTATTTAATGTTTTGAGTAAAAACAAATTTATATATATATATATATATATATATAGATAGATATATATTTGTGTGTTTTCTTCAACAACTATTTTTCAACCACTTGAAAAAAATTTATATTTCGTTAGAACAACTTTTTTTAATAAAAAAAAAAATACATAATTAGAATAAGAAATACATTACATATTTTTTCACAAATTTTTTTTTTAACCAAATAGCTGCTGCATAACAGTCATTTCGCTGGCAAAATGGGATCTATACCGAATGGGGCCTAAAGGAGAGAGAGTGATTAATAGGTGGCTCAACATTTTGTTCCGTAAAGAACAACAGATTTAAAAGTTGTTCTATATAATTTTGAGAAAATTTAAAACTTCACTAAAAGTTGTTCTATCTTAAATTTTAATTTTGTATATTTAAAACTTCACTACTTAATTTCTTGATTTATATTTCTTCATGGTCCAAAACACCATTATGTACCTTTTAATCCAAAACACCCTTCTGGATTTTTTTTTTTTTTCTTTTTTTGTGCAACCCTTCCAACTCGAATTCTTTTTAGTCTTTGGGCAACCCTTCCACTGGTGTGCAACATTTTTTTTTTTAACCCAATGTTGCACATGCTTAAGTGTTATTTAACAAAATAAATAATGCATTTTTTTTTCCCTAAATGAAGGATTGTATTAAAAGTATAAACAATATAGTACAAGAGAAAATAGTGAGGTCATACCCTCACTTATGAACCAGAAATCACCCTTACAAGGGAAAACCAAAACAAAACAGGACTAACCTAACAACATCAGACTACATATTGTCCTGGAGGCATACCCCTATAACATCAAGTACCTCCCAAAGAATACCCTTGGCTAAATCCTTTGACTCTTTAAACTTCTCATTATGCAATCTGTCATTTCTTTCCATCCAAATGATGTATAAAGTTGCTGTGAACATAATCCTAGCCATCTTCTCTTTGCCCTTCCCTTGAAACTGCTGGATAAACATCAATGCCAACTCTTGGACTTCATAACATCTTTGCAAATTCCAAGCACAACAATCTGAAAGAGTATTTCACACCTTCCATGTATAATCACAGCTGCAAAACAGGTGATCCAAGGATTCTTCATTCCTTAAAAAAGGCAGCACCTAGAAGCTAGAGAAAAACCTCTTTTCTGCATGAAAAAACTGAGTAAGAACAGCATTCTGCATCACCAAAACAGAGTGAGTAGACCATCTAGGTCTACCCCAACTCCAACACATCCCAAACCAGCTAACAACCTGATTTTTTATTCTACAAGCCTCCCAAGCAGCTTTGAAACTGAAATTATCCTTCCATCTCAGTATATCCTCCCCCATGTATCTTTTGATTATGGAACAGCTGTATCTGTTGGGATTTATATGCCCTGGCATAGCAAATTCTTATTTGGATTATAGTGACATAAATTCCTCACGTTTCTAAAATATTTATGTTTGATACAATTGATGAATTCAATGTATTATGTTTCGATTCATTATAGAATTGATAGTGTGCACCTGATTACAAGAGATATTTATATATGTATGTGATGGCGATCAATACATGAATATAAATAGTAATTATAAATTGTTCATAGTCGGTAATTATGAATAGACTCATAATTAATTAAGACTTGAACTGAATCCGCGTTAGGTTGAGATATATTGCGAAAGTCGTCGTATGCAATTACTCCCTATCACCATCATGGCATTTGACTCTTAAGCATGAGAAAAGTATAAACTCTTTTATTAATTAATAATTATTTTGATTTGTTCGGCGGATACTTCGGGATCCTTAGATCGACACTTTGGGTAGTTGTGTAACTAATAGTTAGAGGGTTATATTTTCAATATTTGCATCATTGCTACTTGTATTTATTTTGTATTGATTATAGTTGATCACAAAATAAATTTGAAGGCCTTCGTGTGTTTTTAGACAAATAATTTATTATATATTTATTTATTTAAATTATTATTTTTGTCAAATAAATGTTTTATTGTGATCGAGGCTGAAATAATGAAAGGTACTAAAATAAATATATTAATTAAGTAGTCGGATTGATGGCTTTATTTATCCGATAACTAATTATGCATAGAAATGTGAAAGTGCAACATTGACTTAGAGGTTATTTATTATTTAATTAGAGTTCAATTAATTTCTTTTAGTGGAGTAGAAATTAATTTATGAATTAATTGAATTGGGTCCATGGACTGGGCCAATTATTAATTCATTGTAGCTAATAAAATAATAAGCCCAAAGGATTCTCACTCATAGCCCAACTTGATATTGGAATCCTATTAGATTTGAGACATGGAAATTAGAGATTGAGAAGGATTTATTATTTCCTTTTCCTTATCTTTATATTATCTATATATATACATGGTCTATGTATATTTTATGCGTGTTTTTTTTTTTGGAATTAGGAAAAAGGAATATATTTTTCTCTCTCTAGATTTTAGGGTTTGATTTCTCATCTAATGGAGGCTCCCACAAGCCTAGTTTTCCAAGATCATTCATGGAGGCTTATGAGTGATTCCTAAAGGCAAAATAATTACCAAGAAGATGGAGATTCAAGGAGAAGGCAGCTTGCTAAGGGATCTACAATAAGTGAGAACATTCACTTTAGAGGAAATATTTAAAGGTTTACTGAGACCTTTGATGTAAGTATTCAATCTGTTAATTGAATGATACATCATATTTTATTTTTGCATAAAACTTGTCTTTATGTGATGAATCAAGATCTATGAATGTAAATTCCTCAAAAAGTTTTTAAATCTTGCATGTTTCCCAACAGTGGTATCAGAGCATGGTTTGATTCATTACTAGAGATCATATTTTTATCAAATTTCATTATTCATAGATCCAAATTTATTTTCATATATATTTTTTATTGATGTATGTTGATGTATGATTTAATATGTTAATATATATTGATACATAATGATATATGTATAATTGTGAATGAATGATGATGTATGATTGGGCCATGGATGAAGTTTGTAGGTATATTGAATGTAATTTTATCTTTGAATGAATGTAATTAAGGCTTTGATTTAGCTGTTTGAAAGTTCAATGATGTAATTTAATTTTTTCCATTGTATTTCAAAGTGTAAATATTTTTTAAAGCCATGTAATATTCATCAAAGGATACTATGAAGCTTCAAGAAGGTCCAAGAGAGTTAAATTAGGCTTCAGAAATTTTCTGGGATTTTTTAGCAATTTTTCGGAATTTTTCTGAAATTTTTAGGGCCTAAATTT